CCACAACGCCCGGCTATTTTTTGGTTGCAGCCGTCATTGTTGTTTGGCGGGCCCGGGCTGGATTCGAACCCGCTAGCTAAGGCGTATGTGGTTGGCGCCTTAGCCGTTTGAGCCACAGGCGCCGAGCCCAGAAGGAGGTTTCTGATGACGCCTGCAGGATGGCTGCGGAGAGCTCGATGCAGAAATGGCGAACAAGCGCTCCATGTCCATACAGAAAACCCTGAAGTGCGATCGCCTGCGCTGGGGCGGGTTGTGGGGCCCTTTGCTCGTTTGTTAGGCAAGTCTCGGTCGCCTACTGTGTGCTGGGCGCTACTCAGAACCCAACCGGGGAGAAGAGCAGTGAGAAGCGGCTGTGTGGAGGCGCCGAACGGACGGTTGATGCGAAGCCCTGAAGCGAGGAGCGTGGGCCCTTCTAGAAACGACAGAAAGGAGAACATACAGAGCAAAGTGGAGGAGGTGAAGGGTCGGAGGCCAACACAGGCCAGATAGGTCATGAAAAGGAGGACCTGACGCTCCTCGTTTCAGAGTGCAGTGGAGAGCCCTTGGAGGGCTATATGCTTTTAAAAGACCTCTCTGGCTGAAGGGCAGAGCCGCTTCCTGGGTAGCTGGGTCAGTTCCCCTAGCCGGCCCTGAACCGGGGGAAAGGTGTAGTGTTGGTCGTTGGCCACGAGATGGCGGCCCAGTGTCCCTCGTGCAGCACTGCCACCTGGTGGTCATCGGTGCTCAGGACATCCTGGAGGAAAGCAAGACGCGGCCCGAGAGTCCGTCCAAGGCCTGCGCTCTGGGTCAGGTCTGACCACACTGTCTCCCGCAGGTCCAGGAATATTAATTACCACACAGTCTCGCCGCTGGGTGACAGGTGGTGGGGACCCGGGGATGGGGTTCATACAGAAGAATCACAATTTTCTTTCTACTTCTGAGATGAACTGTTCCAAGGGACATTCACCTTCCTAATCAACTTATTCCAAAGCAAAAAAAAAAAAAATTTTTTTTTGAGACAGTCTTACTTTGTGGCCCGCGATAGAGTGCCGTCACAGCTCACAGCAACCTTAAACTCTTGGTCTTAAGCGATTATCTTATCTCAGTCTCCCAAGTAGCTGGGGCTACAGGCACCCACCACAATGCCTCGCTAATTCTTTAGAGATGGGGGTCTCACTGGCTCAGGCTGGTCTGGAACCTGTGAGTTAAGGAAATCCGCTTGCCCGGGCCTCCCAGAGTGCTACCGCACCTAGCCCATTCCAAAGCAAATTAAATCAAATGCATACAGGATGGAATTTCAAAGTTTGTTCATAAAGCTTATGTTTCCAAGTTAAATATTTTCAAAAACATGCCCTACAGAAGCAAATTTATAATAAAAATACTAAGCTTTAAGCAGCATGGCCCCTCGATTTCATGTACCTGTTTTGAAGGTCTGGGAGGTGCCTTACCTGGTATTCACATAGGCATGTGTTTTTATAAACTGAAAATACTGAGATATTTTAACTGTGACTAGTTAAGACTTCTGTTTTTTCTCATAAGACCTGTTCTCAGTCAGAAGCAGTCACAGGGACTTGGAGGATTTGACTAAGAGGGAGTTGCAATGGGGTCAAATTTAGTTTGGATTGAATTGAGTATGTGTGTGGTTGGCAGCTGTTTCTGTGTGTAGTCAACTTATTGCTGGCCAGACATGTAGGGTGGCTTCAGGAGTGTGCATGCTGTGTGCCACTCTCTGTGACAATCTACTGATGTTGCAAACATGAGACTCCAAGGCCAAGGGAAGTGTAACACTCAGAGCCATAAGACAGTCTGTGGGATATTTCACTAATCAGCAGATGTCTAAAACGCAGAGAGAATAATGTGAAATGGTGCAGTCACTGGGAAACAGAATGGCAGTTGCTCAAAGAAATGAAGATAGAATGGCCATGTGACCCGGAAGTGTTTCTTCTGGGCATATATCATAACAGCACTATTCACAACAGCGAGAAGGTGTAAGCGATCCCAGTATCTATCATCAGATGTATGCATAAACAAAGTATGGCAAAACCACCCAGCAGATTGTAATTCAGCCTGAGAAAGGAAGGGAATTCTAATACATACTACAGCATGGATGAATCTTGAAGAGGACGTTGTGCTCAGTGAAATAAGGCTTTCACAAAAGACAAATACTATATGATTCCACTTACTTGAGGTGCTTAGCGGCAAATTTATAATGGTGGCTTCCGGGGGCTGAGGGGAGGGGGAATGGAGAATTATTTTTTTAATGGGCATAGACTTGCAGTTTTAACAAGACAAAAAAGTCCAGGAGATGGATGGTGGGGATGGTTGCACAACAGTGTATATACTTAACATGAATGAACTATAATATTTTGAAAGAAATCTTTTTGCCTGAGAAGTAGGTGTGAACAATGGGCTTAAATTTTTCAGTAAACCACACTGTAAACAGATGTGCTATCATTCGGGTTTTGTTGTTCCTGTTACAGGCAGAGTAGGTTTAGCACAATTAGTAAGGGCCTTAGGTTTTGTTTGTTTTTTTTTTTTTTTTTTTTTGAGACAGTCTCACTATGTCACCCTTAGTAGAGGGTCAAGGCGTCACAGCTTATAGCAACCTCAAACTCTTGGGCTTAAGCAATTCTTTTGCCTCAGCCTCCCAAGTACCTGGGACTACAGGTGCCCACCACAACACCCAGCTAATTTTTTTGTTGCAGTTGTCAGTGTTTAGCTGGCTAGGCCCAGGTTCGAACCCACCAGCCTCAGTGCACGTGGCCAGCACCTTAACCACTGTGCTATGGGCGCTGAGCTAATTTTTTTTTTTTTTTGAATGGTGAATGAACTGGCCTCAATCTGCATTAATCTCTAGTGAGAGAGTCATCTTGTCCTTTGGAGCTCTGAAGCCAGGCATCAACTTCCCTCCAGTTGTGAAAGTCCCAAGTGGCATCTTCCTCCAAGATGTTTTTTCTGCACTGCAGCTCTCTCATTTAGTTAGTGACCTTCACTGGTGATCTTGACTAGATTTTCTGGATAACTTGCTGCAGCTTCAACATCAACTCTTACTGCTTCAAATTGCACTTCTGTGTAACAGAGGCAACTTGATTCCTTACATCTCATGAACTGACTTCTGCAGCTTTCTTACGTCTCTCAGCCTTCAAAGAATTGAAGAGAGTTGCCTTGCTTCAGATTAGCCTTTGGCTGAGGAAAATGTTGTGGCTGGTTTGATCTTCTATCCAGATCACTCCAACTTTCTTCAGATCAGCAGTAAGGCTGTTTCACTTTCCTATCATTCATGTGGGTCACTGGAGCAGCACATTTTTTTTTTTTTTTTGAGACAGAACCTCAAGCTGTCCCCCTGGGTAGAGTGCCATGGCATTACAGCTCACAGCAACCTCCAACTCCTGGGCTCAAGCGAGTCTCCTGCCTCTGCCTCCCAAGTAGCTGGGACCACAGGCGCCCGCCACAACGCCCGGCCATTTTTTGGTTGCAGCCGTCATTGTTGTTTGGCGGATCCGGGCTGGGGATTTGAACCCGCCACCTTAGGTGTAGGTGGCTGGCGCCTTAGCCGGTTGAGCTATAGGCACAGAGCCTGGAGCAGCACTTTTAATATCCTTCAAGAACTTTTCCTTTCCATTCGCAACTTTAGTTAACTGGCACAGAGAACTAGTTTACACCTTCTCTTTCGACATGCCTTCTGCACTAAGCTTGTTCATAACTAGCCTTTGATTTAAAGTAAAAGACCTAGGACTCTTCCTTTCTCTTGAATACTTAGAAGTCATCACAGGGTTATTAATTTGTCTAATTCCAATATTGTTGTGTCTTAGGGAATAGGGAGGCCCGAGGAGAGAGAGAGAGATGGGGGAATGGCCAGTCTGTGGAACAGTCAGAATACACACAACATTTATTAAATTTGCTGTCTTATATGTAAGGGTGTGTTTAATGGCACCACCAAATAATTGCAGTAGTAGCATCAAAGATGACTGATTACAGATCTGCATAGTATATATAATAATAATGAAAAGGTTTCAAACATTGCAAGAAATCCCATGTGTCCCACAGACACATGAAGTGAGCACAGGCTGTTGGAGAAATAGCATTCATAGACTTGCTTGGTGCAGGGTTGTCGTGAACCTTCAATTTATAAAAAAAAATGTGGTATCTGTGAAGCACAGCAGAAAGAGAGCATCTGCCGAGTCTGTTAGCTCTGGGAAGTTCTCCAAATAGATTGGCCTTTAAGTTTCCTTTTTTTTTTTTTTTTTTTTGAGACAGAGTCTCAAGCTGTCACCCTTGTAGACAGGGTAGAGTACTGTGGCATCATAGCTCATAGCAACCTCCAACTCCTGGGCTCAAGCGATCTTCTTGCCTCAGTTTTTCTATTTTTAGTAGAGATGGGGGTCTCGCTTTGGCTCAGGCTGGTCTTGAACTCATGAGCTCAAGCCATCCTCCCACCTCAGCCTCCCAGAGTGCCAGAATGACAGGGGTGAGCCACCATATCCGGTGAGGTT